CTCAGGGCTTCTTTCTGGGGTCATTGTCCAATTCGTCGGCGTTTCATCGTCTTCGTCATCATCGCCTTCGTCGTGCCTCTCAGTGATTTCCATCTTAGTCCTCTTTCGTAACGCTCCATTCACTCGCCTCCTATTCCTAACTTTCATTCCTCATCGTACCGTCCTTGCCCCAGTCATCATCCCATCGCCCCTCATCGCTATCTCTTCGCACCGTTATCTTCCTTTTCCATTCCGTCTCTCTACCATCTCGAGCTCATCGCATCGTATCTCTCTGACCCTGACCCTCTCGTACCGTCTCGTAGTCCCTTTTTGTAGGACCCGACTCCGCCCCTCCGTGGCACCTAACCAATTGCCACTGTTGACACGACACATTTCTCTGTCAGTCGGTGTGTGTGATCTTCGACTGCCGCTCCCGCGGCCCACACCAGTAGAACACCCTCTCCCAAACAAAGCCGAGCAAGTAACAATGTACAAGCCTCAGGGAGAGAGATGGGAGAGCCGTCCGAAGAAACTTTAATTACGGGTGACTAATGGTCCCGATGCTTCCGACAAAGTGCGTCGTCTATAATGGCCTACGTCCGGAGTTCGCAATGTTGTGCCAAAATGTTTTCGGCCGAACCAGTTGTCCCGGTTTCTGGTACTTGATGAGCCGATGTCCAGAACGAGTCTCGACGTCTCCATGCAGCTGGGTGTCTCCCGCGAAATTCTCCGTAGCCGCCGCTTCTTCGTCATTCATTGCCGCGGGTGGCCGTCCGCGCAGAACGCAGTAATGAGCCCTGGAGCCACGGAGGCTGACGGAAAGTCAGACAGGACCCGGCACAGGCGCTGCGGCAGGGTCGCATTCCCCGAACCAACAAAAGGTGCTCTGCTGCTCCCCCATGCCACAAATCTGAAGGGTGCGTGCGTATTATTGCCACGGTACACTGTCACACTGTCTGTAGACAACAAGGCACCGCCCGATCCTCGTGTTTGCACGGGGGGGGGGGGGGGGGAACCCACGAGAACAGTAGAAATAATTCTTCCAGGTACTCCACTCCGGAATGCCCATTCGTTACACCGAAGGTTTTCTTTTCCATTTTTTATGCGTGGGTTTAAGAAACGAGCGAAAACATCTTGAAAGGACCGGGGTTCAGTCCGTGTTTGCGGGGACGTCACACCTGTAAACGCACATGAAGATATCAATTTTATGCGCAAGAGGTGTTAATTCTTATTAGTCTGCTTGCTATTAGCAACCCAAGAGATCCAATACCTTCGGTTACATATACAGCTAGTTTTTTGGACAGGCACACCTTCGATCAATGATCGTACAAAAAGGATGGCTGTGATGGTGTATGTGCGTGTTCTCTCTGTCCGCATTCAATCGCGCGTTTCAAACTTAGTGGGAGCTTGCGCAAGTAAATCTTGCAAGTTGTATACATCAGGGTGTGCTGCTCTCGGTATTCTCACAACAAACATACTTTACTGCACTTCACTTTGTGACATTTTTGTAATGCAGTGAAGCCAAAAAAATGCTACGTTGTCTTCGGGCGCATATACTACCGGCCATTCCTCATGTGTGGATATGTATGTGTATAATGTATACGGTCATAATCTATGATTGTGACAATATCTGTAGCTCCAGCCCCGTTTTCTATCTATATAAGGGAAGCTTATTTCTAGTTTGAATTAAGAGATATTTTGCGTTGCGTGCACCTACATCCAGCGCAATGACTGCCGTTTTATTAATTTATATGTACACATATAAGCAAGCAGGGCTTATTGGCCAGCTAGACAGTGAGTAGATAACGTTATTAAAAGATTTAGAGCATATCGTGTTACATATGCAGAGGAAAAAAGCGTGCACATATACACAGAAAACCCTGATTTAATATATGTGTAAATGAAAGAATACTCTCATAAATCAAACTGATTTACACATACTTGTTAACTTGATTTAGATTTCATATATACCCTATAATTAAAATAATAAGTGCATAACACCACAGCGCTAGTGAACAAAATTTATGCAGTAGAATTTAGAATTACGAATAATGATGTGTATCTGGGCCAGCATATGTACATTAAAAATTCATTGTGAAACATCGCTACACGTGAATTTCTTAAAAGTGCGAGAGAAAATGATTGATTTTTGCGTGAATGCTGCATGCAAATGACGCGTCGCTTCAGGTTAAGTACTGAGGAAATTGAATGCAAATAAATGAATGAGTGCATATAGCACTCAGTTTAATACAACTAAGGCGAATATCTTTTATTTACGATCATGGAAATTAAGCATGTTGTGGAAGAGAACCTAAAGAATCGCGGCTTAGATTGCGGATGCGGCTGATGCGAAATTCTAAACAAACTCCATGCATGAGCATTGATCGAAGATGTGCTTGTCAAAAGTTGACTATATATGACGAAATTGGTGTCGCGCCTCTTGGATGTGGCTCTTGACAAGCATGCCAATAAGAATTAACACAGTGTGAACATCAAAATGATATTTTCATGCGCTTTTTAAGTGTGAATCCACATAAAGATAATTGTACAGCACTCCGTCGGATGAAAACAGGACAATTTAGGGCTAAGTAACGCACATACTTTCACTTCCAGCGTTTTCACATCAGGTCAAATCAGTGTAATTTTGCCTCCAGCCCGTATATCAGAGCCAGCGTTGTCTTTAGAGACCAAATTTCTGGTGATGTCACGTGGTTACCTCGAACTATGGCGCATAAAGTATGATAATTAAACTAGCCCGCCAACGCGTTCAGTCAATGTGCGATGTTTAATAAGTGTTGACAGTCTCCAGTCCACCGAGTTGACTGATTGGTACCCCTTGGAATACGCGTCGTTATCCCGGAGGCTCGCGTTTAGACTACTCGTGATGTGGGCGCAAATAGTCTAAAACCATTTAGTGAAAGTTTTTCAAAGATTCTGGTGCATGGCGTTTGGGGGTCTAAAAATGAGCGTGCCCAGCTTTTGCAGCAAAAAGATAATAGGAACGCACAATAGGAAGGCTTTGGGCATTTCTGTCATCAAATAATGTTGGAGCTCAAAACATCACCAGCTCACTGCGGTCAACTTGCTATATTAGCAAGCTAATGGCCTAAATTAGAAAATTCGAAGCACAATCACGTACCATGACAACGCATGCCAGCGACAGCCTTTCCGGGCTAACTGGTTACTGTACTGCTACTTGTATCTTAATCTCCCATTGAACGCACTTGTTTGCAAGGCGCATGAGCTCACTTCACAGAACTGAAGCCGTCTTCACCACCTCCCAACAGCAAGGATCATGCCTAGCCGACCATCCGATCTTGAACGTCGCGTTCATGTTTCATTTGATCATTCCCTTCTAAACGGCGTTCAAGAAAAATAAAGTGTTCGTTCAATTTGGACACACTACTTCGAATTATGGCGAAGGGCAAGTATTCGTAAAAAAAAGGTGTCTTTTGAGATCTACCGCGTCGCGTCGCCCGATGAAAATCATATGGCTCTCGGTGGCACGTTTGCCGAACTACGGTTCACTGCTCGAGCTATCAAAAAAAAAATCAAGATTCGCAGTTAACAGTGATATAAGTTTAAAGCAAGGTGGCAAAAAAGGAGAACATCATGAATACACGAACAAATTTGAGCGTTTCAGCGTGTTGACAAAATTTTATGGGCAATTTTTGAACGGCTTTCTGAGGCAAACGCGGTGGTGAAATAGATTGAAGTCTTATGGGCATACGGCTAGCAAGTCGTATCTGCTTAACAGTTGGAACATAAGAGCACACCACATGGCCTGTTGAAGTGTTAAAGGACGGCTTTATGCTCTCCCATAGTAGAGTGCGTAGTACTCTAAATCGTTACCTAAAAAAAGATTTACCAGGAGCGCTTCTTATACGGGGGCGTATGATTTCTTCATACGCCTTTTACTACGCGCTCGTGTCATGGGCCCGGCCAAAAAGACATATCTCACGCACTTTTCCTTTTTTTTCATCGTTTGAAACACTTGACGTTTGTATTCTGAGTTGCATAACGTGAGACGGGAGGTATCGCGTTGAACAACATAGGTGGCGAAATTAGCGCGCGGAGTACCTAACTACACGCTTGGCGCCTCATAATCGAATCTCCATTTTGTCACGTAATACCTAAGCGATTGGTTGTTATTTATTTGTTTATTATTATTATTATTATTGTTATTATTATTATTATTATTATTATTATTATTATTATTATTATTATTATTATTATTATTATTATTATTATTATTATTATTATTATTATTATTATTATTATTATTATTATTATTATTATTGTTATTATTATATTATTAATATATTAGTATTGTTATTATTATTATTATTATTATTATTATTATTATTATTATTATTATTATTATTATTATTATTATTATTATTATTATTATTATTATTATTAATATTATTATTATTAGTATTAGTATTATTATTATTATTATTATTATTATTATTCGAGAAAGAACACTATATCATGCTTCTATGCGCATACATGGCGTATAAATGCCTGGGAACTTTAGACGAATCCTATATCTCTATGTGGCCCGTACTTTGCAAACCCGTATAGCCATGCATGATACTCGCCCGGTGCTCTTTTGGTTAGGGCGCTCGGCGGCTGACCCGAAGGTCGAGGGATCGAATTCCTGCCCCGGCGGTCGCGTTTTGGTAGAGGCAAAATGGTAGAGCTACGTGTGATGATCAGATTGAGGTGCAAGAACCCCCAGAAGGTGGAAAATTTTGGAGTCCTCCACTATGACGTCTCTCATAGTTATGCCCCAGTTTGGGTTCGTAAAACTCTTAACACTTATCGTCAATAGACAGTTTACGGTTAGCGTGATAGCGGAGGTTAAGGGAGTGGTGTTACTGTGCAGCAAACGTTCGTTAGGGACAGCGTCTTATAGTTTAGCGGGATAGCGTTTACGTGGTTTACGTGCCCTAGTGAGACGGTGGCGTCACCTATCGAATGGTTAATAAGTTGGTCGGGAGTGGTGGTTGTGTTGCAGTGTGCGCGTGCTTGTGGTGATCGTGTAAACATCAGCGGCAAAGCGAAGCGACCCACCTTCAAGAATGCAATCGGCGGACCAATGAAAACCCCGGGCCTGTCAAGACGCACTTGGTACGTGATGACATGCATTACTGCATATTACCCAGCGCAATACAAACCTGAACACCTAGGCCTAACGCACTGAGACCCGCACGACAAGCAAACGGACAACATGCGCCACCTATGTCCCGGCAAACATAACTAAAATCGGAACTCTCCCAGGCGGCAATTTCAAATAGAAACTGGTGCCCAGCCTTAAGAATAGCCTATCGGTAACATATAGCAAATAGAGGCAGAACAACAACACAAATCGAACATCACACCTACACAAAATAACACTACCATTTTATGAGAAATTATAGCAACATGACCCGGACTCGCCGAGGTGCCCCAACAAAAGGAACCAGTGCCCGTGTAGAGGAGGACTCGTCGGACGGAACAGTAATGGTAGAATGTGAGACCTGCCAAGAATGGGCAAACATTGATGACACCCCGTTCTCCAGCACACAAGAAGCCCAGGCAGGCAGATACACGTGCAACCTCTGCACGAGACTCGCAGCAATGCAGGCTTCAATCGCACTTCAAGAAATAAAACTGCGTGCCGAACACTCACAACAAATTAGCCAAATAAAGGCCGAGTGGGAAGCTGCTCAAGCGGAAGCTAAAATAGATAGGCAAAACCTACACACTTTGCTGAGCACAGAGCGCAACTTGCGTGAAAAACTCGAGGAAGAGATTGGTACCCTCCAAACCCAAATAAAAAAACTCGAACAGACAAACAGTACTCAGGACGCCCAAGAAAACGGAGACCAGGCTACCTCAACTCCTCGACACGACTCCGGGACACCAGAGCCAAAACACCCCTCAGACAAGCAATTTCGCAGCCAGTGGAAGGAAGACATTCCATCACAGGGCACAAGCAGGATAAGTGAAGACATTGAGCACACAGTTGAGCTAGCAGAGGAAGGCAATCCTGGGACACAAGTGGGCAAAAAAGGCCGACCCTTGAAAACAGAGAACACCAGCCAGAAACAGCAGCAGCTCAGCGCTGACCATAAACAGAAACATCCCTATCCTCAAATGCAGTCAAATGACCATCCACCACAAAGCAAACGCACTGTAGTCCTAGGCGACTCCAATGCCCATCGATTGAAAAAGCACCTCCGTAAAGCTATACATGATCAAAGACTACGCATCACTACAAAATCTGGTGCCAATCTTGAAGAAACACTTCACCGAGCTGAAGGAGAAATTCAGAAGGCAAATGCCACCAACACAGAGCTGCAACTAATAATACATGTAGGTACTACTGATCTTTTAAATAAAGCAGACATTAAAAAGACCACTGACCACCTGAAGCAACAACTGACTTACTGGAGCCAAAAGACACCCAAACACCACTACATAGTCAGTGCCATCCCTGAACCGAAAGCAAGGGGTCAACAATTTGCTACAGCATGCCAAACATGGAACACGGCAGTTCAAACGGCGTGTACAGCCTTGGGCCCCAGTGTGCGGTTTATGTCAGCAGCCGCCCAGCTAACCGCAGATCACCTGGATGATATCCACTACTCGGAACAGGCAGCGGACCAGGTTGGCAGCCAACTAGGTGAGGCCATTAAATCTTTTTTATGGGACAAACAACCAACGCGCCCACAACACTGGAGACGATCAACAAGACCAGATCAAAGGACAGTGCAAACGCTACTGAAAGCAATGACAACAGCCCTAGGCAAACTAGGACAGAGAAACCGGCACTGGTAAGCAACCAAGCAGGCAAAACCATACGCACAACCCCCCCCCCCAATTTCAGTCCTCCAGAGATCATTGTCAATCACTTTCCAGAAAAAGAAGAAACAGAAGAACAAAGCAGAGTGAAGTGAAAAAAGAACTCACCATATGCCTACTAAACATGCAAGGAACAAACAAACTCAAGTGGGCTGAACTCCAAGACCAAGTGAACAGACAAAAAATAGATATCTACGCTCTAACGGAAACTCACCTGCGGGACGACGAACAACCTCTGCTCCCGGGGCTAGTATGGCAAGGAAAGAACAGAAGTAAAGGACAAAAACGGGGTGGAGGCATTGGTTTTATTACACCGAAGAGAAGCACTGTAAATGGGGACTGCCAGGACAAGGAACACATGTGGATAAAAATAAAGATTGACACACGTGACCTGTACATTTGTGTCATATACATGGCAACAGGCCTCGAGGAACAAAAGTGGAATGACAGCATTTACGCATGCCTCAAGAAAGACATTGAAGAAACCTACAAAGGCCAACCGGTACTACTGATGGGAGATTTCAACTGCCACATAGTAGAATTGGATGGTCACGAAAAAGATGCTGCTGGCTTCCGAAAATTAATTAAACAATGCAACCTACAAATAGCAAACCTCCATCCAGCTTGTGAAGGCACCTACACATGGTCACGCAGAGCTAACAAATCTGCTATAGACTACATACTTTACAATCAAGAGGTAGTAAGGCAAGATATAAACATCACAGCTCTGTACATAGACGAAGACAAAACAAACAGCTGTGGAAGTGACCACAACCGAATGAAACTGTGCCTCAGACGCCATCAACCCCATCGAGTAAACCGGCCTGAAACTACAAAAGCTCACTGGCGAGTGAAAGAGCAAGAGCGCCTGGATGAATTTTCCAATAAACTCGAGTCAACATTAACAGAACCTCTAACATACGAGGAATTCGCAGAAAAATGCCTGTCAGTAGCACAAGAAACCATTGGGAAAACTAGTGAAAAAAAAAGGACCAGAAACACACCTTGGTTTGATGGAGAACTGAAGACAGAAATTCGCATTCGCAAAGAATTATCCAGAAGGCACCGTCATACGCCCAATGAGTCGACAGAAAAAGAGGTAATTTGGAAGGAATACCTGGCCCAAAAAAGAAAAGTAAAGGAAATGGCCGCAAAAAAGATAGACCAGAAATTCCAAAAAGAAGAAGAAAACCTGCATAAGGATCGTAACCATTACAGTCAGAAGTTTTGGGCATACATAAGGACACTGGAACCAAAGGACACCCTTCAGGAAGATCCACTCATACTACTTACTGAAAATAGCATTCCTCTACATACCAAAGAAGAAATTGAACAGCACATAACTAAACATTTTAAAAATATGCAAACCAATCCAGTAGATCCACCACCCCAGATCAGCAGTAGAAAAAAGGACAAGACCAGCACACCTGAAGAAGAAAAGCTGACTGGACCAATTTCTAAACTAGAACTAAAGAGACGCATAAATGATCTAAAAAACCAGAAAGCAACAGGACTCGATGATATACCCAACGAATTCCTGAAAGCATTCAAAACAGAGGCAAAGGAAATGCTACGCGGCTGCCTCAACGACATTCTGGCAAGCAGAAAAAATACCAAGAACTTGGAAAGAAAGCCGGGTAAAGCTGATTCACAAGGGAAAGGGAAAGGAAACAAGTGACATTGGGGCGTATCGCCCCATAACAATACTGAGTAGCATTCTGAAACTCTTCAATACAATCCTGAATCGCAGGCTACAAAACCACTGTGAAAAAACCTTAATCTTGTCAGAATCGCAAAATGGATTTCGCCCAAACAGACGGACAAGTGACCATATCTTTACCCTAACCCAGGCAATAGAAATGAAAAACAGAGACAAATCTCAACTATACCTGGCATACCTGGATCTACAACAAGCATATGACTCAGTGCCGCACTCACGACTGTGGGAGAAGCTAGAAAAAATTAATATTGAGGAAGACTTCATCAAATTACTAAAAGCACTATATGCAGAGTGTACGGCAGTGTATGAACTGGGCAAATATAAATCTAGACAGGTGCAACAAAATATTGGACTTAAACAAGGGTGCCCACTATCGCCAACATTATTCAATATTTACATTAACAGCCTACTAGAACAAGTAAATAGAGAAGGACCAGGGCTACGTCTTTCCACCGTAACAACTGAGCGCCAAGAAATCTACACTAAAATTTCATGCTTGGCATTTGCCGATGACATCGTATTATTGGCTGAATCCCCAGCGGACCTGCAACATCTCCTCGACATATGCTCTCGCGTAGCCCACGAAGATTGCCTCACATTCAACACTGACAAAACACAATGGATGGGCATAAACATTGATGACAAAGACATAACATTCACCATCCAAGGCAACACCATCAAGAAAACAGCAACATACAGATATTTAGGCATAACAATATCAGACCAAAAGAATTACCTTGACAAACACCAAGAATTACTCCTAAAACAATCCAACCGCCTAAAAGGTAGGGTGTGGCACCTGTCACGGCATTCCTACAACCCCTACAGGGTAGGCCGCACACTTTGGAAGACTCTTGCCGTGCCTGCAATAACCTACGCAGGTGACACATTGGCGTACTCTACCCAAACAGTGCGATGTTTGGACCGCCACCAAAATGAACTGGGGCGCTGGCTACTGGGAGGCAGCTTTGCAACAGCAAACGCAGCAGTAACAGGGGAGTTGGCCTGGTCAACTTTCGAAGCACGCGAAGCAAGGATCAAAAATACAATATGCGGGCCGGCTAAAGTTTCTACCAGAAACAAATTACAGCCAGCGCATATACCTACACCTTCGATACAGGGGCATAAAAACACAGTGGATGAAACGACTGGCTTCTCTGGAAAATAAATTCGGCCATAACACAAAACTGGAAGAAGCAAAATCGGAACGAGAATGGCGTATAATAACAAAAAACACTATAACCGAAGCCAGCACAGAGATGTGGCGCACGTCGGCGGCAAAGAAAAGGAGCCTACAGTTATACCTCGAATACAAGCAGGCTCCAGACCGTGAGCCATTTTACAGGGGCGACCGGGAAAGCGCCCTCCTGTTCCAAGCCAGGACGGGGTCACTGCCCACGCGGAAGCGGCATTGGGAACTGTTCGACACGGACCCGTCGTGCCGCCTATGCGGGGCCACGGAAGAAACCATCCAACATATCCTGATGGATTGCCCGCGACTCGGAGCGAGGGACCTACCCAAGATAAACCTGGCGGAATATCTGGGTCTCCCAGATGATCCCGTCGACACCCGAGTCGAACACACCGAGAGTGCCAAGCGACGTCTAAAACTCTGGGACAGACTGTGCTGGCAGGTGGACAAACACCCCGACAGTGTCCAGCGCAACGAAGGGCCGACAGAAAATATCTAAACGACGCCGACGCCACTGGATAGACTTGGCCGAGGGCACGTTTCCCCTGGTGGCGAAACTGGCAATTTACTACCAGACCTTTCTTTCTTCGAACAGTAAAGTGGAAAACGTGTGAGTGCGTGTTCGCGTGAAGTGCGTGTAAAACACAAAATGTTTTTTTTTTTTGACGGTGGCGCGGCAAGCGCCTGACTGGTGATGTGTGTGTGCGTGTGTATGGATGTGCGTTGAAGCGCACAACTTTGTCCTGTGGCGCTGCTGGCGCCTGCCCTGTGCCAAAAGGGATTAGGAGCACCTACTTACTTACTTACTTACTTAGTTAAAGACAGTGAAAAGGAAAATAAAACGAGAATGCTTGCCTATGCCGCCACGCGAAGCATTATTACAAGTTTATTTTACTACTAATAAAATCAAATAAATATGAAGCACGCACCAAACGCGAAAAAAATTATGTTGCCGGTTTGTTTACATCGATCTTGTAGTTATGACTAGACGCGGTCGAAATGAGAAGCAATCTCGAAAATTACGCCAACTTATCTGTAATACTCGGTCATCGAAGCTAACTGAAGGCAAGCGAAGCCACTTTAAACAGTCGTTTGCTGCAAACAAGGTGAATCTTTCAACAACTATGCCAAAATCACTTCGAAGCGGGCGTCCGAGAGCGCAGCCATGTTTACGTACACTACTAACGCTACCACGGTTACCTTAAATCTGAAAAATGCTGCGCGTACGGGAAGTCATATACCTTTGCCATCTATTGATGCCACGTCACACAAAATTTAGTGTATGTGAAACTAGCAAAATGACCGTGAGAGCACTATGAGCGTAGCATGTAGTCGTGTTTTACATGGCATCCATGTCATGATTTCCTCGTCAGGTTTTGCCACTTATGTTCACCATGCAGTCATGTCATACCACACCAGTTTTGCAATGTGTCATGTGACCGTAACTACCGCAGGAGCAGCAAGACCATGAAATGTAAATCATGACATACATGTTTTAATTTTCATGTTATGATTAATCACTTATGCTCGTCATACAGTCATGTTATACCGTACCAATACCGCCACCATCCGACGACGACCTACGGGGAGGTTCAGTCATTTCAAACCGGAGAACTGCACGAGACTATCCAAGCCATCGTACGGGAAACGCTCCGTAGATTACTGCCACCTTTCCCGCATTCAGGTGAGCCAGTTTGCCGACGTTGTAAGCCAATAAATTCAACAATTTCTCCGTACACATGAAACAGTACAACCTGGGCCACAAGCCATGAGCTACGCTGCTGTAGCCCAACGAAATGCCTTCCTACCACGTTCACGTCAAGACGCCGCAGAGCCGCACTACCATCGCCAGACACCGCCGCCACCATCACCGTCATACCATTCGCCTGTTGGACAGCGCAGCAAGTCAAGGAAAACCGACGTCTGGCGTGCCCCTGACCACTGCCCTTGGTGTTACCACTGTAGATAAGCAGGCCATACATACCGCCACTGCCAGTACCACCACAAGGGCCTTCGTGGTTTCGCCGTCAACGTATCACCCCCACAGCATGGTGAGCGGCCACGTCACATTGCCAACTACCTGACCAGCAC